CGCCACTCCATCCTCACAGTTCCCCTCACACTGCCCCATCCACACAATTCCCCTCACGCCACTCCATCCTCACAGTTCCCCACACGCTGCTCCATCCTCACAGTTCCCCTCATGCTGCTCCATCCTCAAAGTTCCCCTCACATTGCTCCATCCTCACAGTTCCCCTCATGCTGCTCCATCCTCAAAGTTCCCCTCACATTGCTCCATCCTCACAGTTCCCCTCACGTTGCTCCATCCTCACAGTTCCCCTCACGCTGCTCCATCCTCACAGTTCCCCTCACGCTGCTCCATCCTCACAGTTTTCCCCTCATGCCTCCCTCCTCACAGTTCCCCTCACATTGCTCCATCCTCACAGTTCCCCTCACATTGCTCCATCCTCACAGTTCCCCTCACGCTGCTCCATCCTCACAGTTCCCCTCATGCTGCTCCATCCTCACAGTTTCCCTCACACTGCTCCATCCTCAAAGTTCCCCTCATGGCGCTCCATCCTCAGTTCTGCTCATGCTGCTCCATCCAAAGGTTCCCCGATGTTGCTTCATCCTCACAGTTCCCCTCAGGGTACTCCATCCTCACAATTCCTCTCACATTGGTCCATCCTCACAGTTCCCCTCATGCTGCTCCATCCTCATAGTCTTCCTCAGCCACCCACTCTCCCTCTTACCTGTAGTCCTCCAGGTAGCCAACTTGTTCTGCCAGAATGCTAGGCCCACCACGCGTTTCCCCCCAGAAAGGGACCCCATCTAGGGTCTGTGCCACTGTCTCAGCCTGGCGGCGAGTGTTGCGGACCACAGCCACCAGGTCAGTCCGTGGCGACAATGTCTCCTCGAGCTGAGTCAGGTCCCCACGTACAGTTGCTGAAAGTAGCTCTACTGTCTCTGAGACCTGAGGGGGGGAGGGATGGAGATGTCACAATTCTGGTGTGGGAGGGCCATAGGTGCCTCATATTATTTATTTATTTATGTATTTAGATTTCTTGACTGCCTTTCCCTGCTTACGCAGGGCTCAGGGCGGTTTACAACAAAATAATTTAATACATTATAAAACCAATTCAATATTAAAAACATTGAAACATAAACATTTGAAAACATTTTAAGAACAAGATGGCATATCTAGCACTCAGTTTTGGGGGAGGAGGGGGAGAATGCCAAGCAGGTGTAAGGAACTGTCACTGGCCTCAACCAAAGACCTGGTGGAACATCTCTGCCTTACATGCCGTGCAAAATTTTAATAGGTCAGACAGGGCATGGATGTCATTTGGCAGAGAGTTCCACCAGGCTGGCCAGCCGGATAGATTCTTATCTGCTGATCATAATGCACTTTGGGGGACAAATTGGGAGATGTAGCAGGCATGACTTTAATGCAGCCAGGTACCCAGGGCTTTTTTTGGTAGAAAAAGGCCAGCAGGTACTCATTAGCATAATATGACACACCCAACAGCAGAAGCTCATTAGCATATTAGGCCACACCCCATGCCTTCCCTTGGCTTGCCCGTGTGCCCTGCGGCTGTGGCAAGCCGGCTCTTGGACAGGAAGGGGAAGGCACAGGGAGGCATTTAAACGCCTTGCCAATCCTTCCAGGGCCCCCTCTGGCCTGCCCGCCTCGGAGTCGCCAGGGGGGTGTCGCTCTCCAGGCCTTCCCTCTGTAGCCACACACGCGGAGGTTTTGGCTGTAGTGGGCGTGGCCAACTCTGAAGTCAGCCGGAACTCCGTTCCTGTGCGTTCCTGCCCAAAAATAGCCCTGCAGGCACCCATGGCAGACAGAACATACACACGCCACATCTTTCACCTTACACAGTGCTTCAGTGCCCAGCTGAAACTCAAGAACTAGTTCTCCTCACGCCAGTCACTGTATGACTGTCACGTCAGTCACCAAGGCTGCACATTGGAGGAAGGGATGCACGTTTTGTGACCTGCTCAGATTAACCATGTTTGCACAGTGAATGCTTAGTCGATGTAAGGACTTCTATTAGTCAAAGGAAGTACAGGACATGACAGGTTTATTAATGGTTAATAGCTATAACAGCTAGAAATGGGCACATTCTCGATCTGAGGCAGGATACCTCTGATTAGCGGATGCTGGGGACAAACAGGACGGCTGTCTCCACTTTGCCCTGCTTGGAAGCTCTCTAGGGCCATCTGGCCAGTTACAGGGACAGAATGCTGAACTCAGCTAACCTTCGGTCTGATCTAGCAGGGCAATTATTTTGTCCTTAAGCAGCTACTCTATTCCCGGGAAGTCCTGCCCAAATGCTCATTTGGCTTCTGAGATTTCACCAGGCACGGTTTACATCTTCCCACATTTCATTTCACAAGCACAGGGGCTAGAAACTTGGCTTCAAGCTGTATGGGCTGAAATCACACGTCTGTAACTGTTCTCTATATTGAAACCGGCTGTCTTTCATCAGCTAAGTACCGCTGTGTGCAACGCACGCGCTTGCCAGATAAAAGCCACTCGCTGTTCACAAGCCTGTGGCCAACATTCTGTAAAGCTGTGGGTTTTAGACTGTCTTCCTTAGAAGTTTTATCGGTGAGATCAAAAATGATAAGGCTCTCTGAAAGACACATCTACGGGGCTCATGTTTTGTGGAGCGGGTGGGTGGAGTGGGAACAGCCCAAGCTGCACGGCCACGGCCAGGATATGGTCTGTTTATGTCATTTCAGAAATACAATAGACATTTTTCTTCCATGAATTATGCAATTATGTGAACAGGATGGGAGTATGTGGGGGGGGAGAGGAAGGGGATGTTACCATTTATTTGTATGAAATATTTAATTTCCCCTTTTTCTCCAGCATGCAGGACTCAAAGCAGCTTATGAAAGTTTCTAAGGGGCTTGGAGGAATGAAGCTCAGACCCCCAGACAGCTACGGATCATCCCCGCACTGCCATGGTCTTCGCTCGTTTTAGTCCCACCTTGCAACAGGAGGAGAACCACTTTTTAATTTTTTACCCCCTCCTTCTCCTACTCTCCCCTTCGCTTCTTCCCCATTCTTTCTCAGTTGTTTTTGTTTCTCACTTTCCTTTCCTTGTCCTAGTCAATATTAAGCCCTGACGGAGATGCTGGTTTCCTTGACAGCTGCACTGTTGTAGGAAGGATTCTCTGAAAGTATAAAAACCAAAGCATGCATTTACACACACAAACAGTAAAAAAACCCCACTCGTGTATATTATGTACAAAGCACCCTCATTCTTCACATAGCTGAGTATTCATAAACCCAGGGGAAATTTTGGGCAGGAACGCACAGGAACGGAGTTCCGGCTGGCTTCTGAGTTGGCCACGCCCATGCCTACAGCCAAAACCTCTGCGCATAGGTGGCTGCAGAGGGAAAACCTGGAAAACGACCCCCCGACCCCCCAATGACTCCCCTCCAAGGGCCGGCCTAACATGCTAATGAGTTTCTGTTGTTGGGTGTGGCCTATTATGCTAATGAGTTCCCGCTGGCCTTCTTCTACAAAAAAAGCCCTGCATAAACCCAAAATGAGCACTTCCTAGATGCTACGCAAGACCACGCTAGTTTTAAGGCGTATGCATGCTATTGTATGCCAGCCAATGTTCCCTCTAAGCTGTGGAGTCTTGTGAGCAAAAATTCTACTTTGTGAGCTACTCCTTCCTTGCTGCATATTCAGCTCTGCCACATGGCATACCCATTCGTAGGGCCTGTATGTTAGCACTCACAACAAACTGGAAGGGCCTAACTACACATTACAAAGTCCTCAGATCACCCCCAGGTCTACCACAAGGATGTTCAATCAGCTGAGTTGTGACCAACGCTCCCTGGCGAAATCTGCTTGAGATCATTTCCAGGTATGCCAAACGCATTCCTTGCTGCATATTCAACTCTGCCACATGGCATGCCCATTCCATTCTATTCACAAGTAGGACCTGTATGTTAGCACTCACAACAAACTGGAAGGGGCTAACTACACATTAAAAAGTCCTCAGGTCATCCCCAGGTCTACCACGAGGATGTTCAATCAGCTGAGTTGTGAGTTCCCCACTAGATACTGAATTCCCAGGCACGCGAAGTCCAATTTTGATCAGGACTACAGTGCACAGTGGGAGGGTACTTAATTCACCGCGTGCTGTTTTCCCACCTTGAAATACCCCTAGGTGTGCTATCTGCTGTGCTGGGGAAACCCGTATGTACACCATCAATACATGTGGACGGGGTGACCCATCCACTAGGTAGCCGTGGGCAATTGCCTAGGAGACCAGTGGTGGAGGGACACCAACCAGCCCTGTTGCAACCCCACCACTTGTCCAGTCTGCCCAGGAGGAGGGAGGTGCTGGCTTCCTACTTCCTCACAGCCCTGTAGGGGGCTTCCTGCCGGGTGCCATCGTGTCCCACCTCACCTAGCATGCAGCAGCTTCTCACCATAGTGTGTGTGTGTGTGGGTGGGTGTCAGGCACAATCTTCCCACCTCCCTGCTGCTTGGTGTAGGGGGAAGGCAAGGAGGGTAGTGCTGTCATTCCGCCTCCCTGATACACGAGGGGCAGCTTGGGTGCCCTAGCCTAGGGTGTCCCAAATCCTTGGGCGGGCTCTGCACATGCACACACCTGTGCGCATTTCAGGTAGAAAAAAATGGCTTGTATGCGGGGGGAAAGCTTAAGCATCCTCTTACCACCTGCCAAGGTCCCAATCTGGATTGGGCCCCTGTGTACCTGGGCACTGAGTTCCCAGGTGGGAATTTGCAACTCACATTCGATCCACATAATGGAAGACCTGGACACGGCCTGAGGACTTGGTAATGTGTCTTTAGGTTCAAGTGGCATCATTAGGCACATTTGCAACATGCTAAGTACTCAATAGACAGAGTCCACATTCATATTCCAGGAGGAAAGAGATAGGAGTCAAGGGCCCTTAGGCTTAAGGCTACGGCCAATAAGCCATACCATTGAAGGAAGAAGTCAAGGGCCCTTAATCTTGCCAGGGGTTGCTGGCTGAACTAATGCCAGCCTCTGTCATCTCTGGAATACGTAAGAAGCAGGGGTCATTTCCTGCAGGTGCCCACAGGAGCGGAGCTCCGGCAGTAAAGAGCCCAGGGGGCGGGCACATGCAACAAGCCCCACCCCCTGCTCCCAGCAGCCCTCAGTCAGAGCAAGAAGCAGCCAGGTAAGCTGCAAAGCCCCCCCCCCAGTCCAAAACAGTCCAGTGGCACCTTTAAGACCAAGTTTTATTCAGGTACAAGCTCTCCCTCCTCTGCAAGGACAGATCTGCACGCCCCCCCCCCCCAATAGCTAGCAATCCAAAACAGTCCAGTGGAGCCTGAGCGGTGGGTGTTGCCTTCTGACACACTTCCGATGATGGTCAGGGGGTGTGGCATATGCAAATAACTTATGCTAATGAGTTATGCTAATGAGCTCCTGCATCTCTTTTTCTATGAAATGACCCCTGGTAAGAAGAGTACAAGCACAGGTTAAAGTGAGTTCAGGGATACCATCTCAGGATACCTGACTGTACAAACAACCCCTTAATGCTCTGATAAAGATATGCACTCACTCACCAGTGTATCAATGGAGCTTAACGTGTGATTGGCGTTCAGCAGCGAATAGGTGACCTGGTACACTCCATCGTTGGTTTCACTGTTTCCATAGAAACCAATGCCAATCCCAGCACTGTGTTTGGAGAGAGGAAGAGAAAGAGACATTTCAGTATCCAGGATCTCCAAACTTTATGACCCTGCTTCCAAACCAAGAGGTCCCAAATTCCATATGGTCAGGATTTTGCCTCACAAATGTGCATTTTTGCAGCCTGTAGCAATGTATGATCACAGTCTGATTTCCACTGATATCATAAATGTATGTCTGGGCAATACAACTGCTGGTGGGGCTTATACAACTGAATATTCCTCCAAACAAATATAATTCCTTTCTCACAGAATACTTGTTGTCATGATGACAAGTTACAGCCTAGCCTGATACACTCGTTTTCTATGAACAGGGGATTTATCTAAACAGAGGAATATTCCACACGTGAACTCCCAATTGCTGTTTGAACAGAGCAGTCACATTGAGAAAACAGAGCTGCACTTACCTGTAACTGTTGTTCATCAACATCTCCTGTAAAGACATACATTGGGCCTGCGCTTGCGCAGGCCAGCCATGGGACATTTTCTTTCTAGCTCAAAAACTCCAAAGAGGCCCCACCCATTTTGGAGCCAATGCACACGCAGGATTCCCACCCAGCATGTCACATGCTCCGTTGGCAGGCACCCCTTCCCTCAGTTCCTGTAAGCCACCGCGAGCCCCCTTCCATGGCACAATAGGCCCTGTGAGAGCTCATGGCGGGGCAGGAGGGAGGGAATGTGTGTCTACACAGAAGACATCAATGAACAACAGTTACAGGTAAGTGCAACTCTGTTTTCAGCTTCTGTCTTCTTGTGCAGCCCAACACTGGGACCATTAGCAAGCTACTCACCAGAGGAGGTGGGGTGAGTTTCTTGCCGGAACAGAGCCTGTAGAATAGACCTGCCCACATCTGCTTCTTTCCTTGCCTGAATGTAGGGCTGCCAAGTCTCCCTGGGGGGCGGGGAAACGACCACTGGTGGATTGGGCCCCGGGGGGAACCCCACCCCGACGTGCACGTCACCAGGAAGTGACGTTAGGACGCCGAGCACGCTGGGGGCGGGGCCACGACCATTGGAGGGGAAACGTGCCCGGCGTCCTAATGTCACTTCCGGGTGACGTTCGTGCGGCGCGTGTGCGCTTTGCACGCACGCGCTCCAGTCGTCGCGCGGGAGTCCCCCGCTGCGGCGACTGCAACGACTTGGCAACCCTACCTGAAGGTCTAAAGCGTAGTGCTTCACAAATGCGTCCTCTGTCGACCAGGTTGCTGCCTTGCAGATGTCCAGCAGGGGAAGTTGATGAAACGCAACAGATGAACCCTTTGCTCTGGTGGAGTGTGCTTTCATGTCCAGTGAACACAGCTCTCCAGGTGCCATGTAGCAGGAACGGATGGCAGCAGCTACCCATCTGGACATGGACTGGGCCGAAGCAACTTTGCCCTTCTTGGGGCCTCGATAACAAATAAGTAGTGCTTTGCCTTTATGGAATGGTTTGGTAAAGTCAAGAACTTTAGGGGAAAAAACCCAACTATCAGAACTAATCTGGCACCAAGCCTCTGCAAATTGTGCCAGCCTACCCTTAAAACTAGGAATGTCTGCAACTACTGGGGCGGATAGTCAGAACCTTGCTGGCTGTTGGCCCTGATTCCTCTGGAGGTTCTGTTGAGTAGGCTGGTGGTGCTGTCTCTGACCCCTGTAGAAAGGGATACCAAAGCTGTGTTGCCTTTGGGAGAGATGTTGCCTCTGGGCCGGAGCTGAGCAAAACACGCTGAATGATCTGGCTGTCTGGCAGTTCTTTTTCATAGTGGAGAGGAACACATCTGTGGACTGTGAAAAAAGAGCTGATCCCTCACATGGGAGATCCTCAGCTTTACAGTGAGTCTCCAGAGGGAGAGCAGTGTTGTGAGACCGTGAGTGCCTCCTGAGGACTATGGCAGAGGCCATCGATCTGGCTGATACATCAGCGGCATGCCTGCCTGCGTTAATCTCCTGTTTTGAGGGTTTAATCACCTTGGACTTGGAATCATCAGACAATTTGTCCAGGTACTGGGAAAGACTCTCCCAGAGGAAAAGCTGGTAGCCTCCCATAATCACTTGATAATTTGTTACTCAAAAATTGAGAGCAGAGGAAGCATAAAAGTGTCTTCCCAAAGTGTCCAGATGGCAGCTTTCCCTGTCAGCTGGGGATGAATGCTGGCCGGGCCGTTGCGTGCCTGCATGTCTTCTATAACTGTATGTCTTCCATAACTAATGAAGACCAGTGGTGGGTGCATGGACAGAAACTCACAGGAGTCCTGCTTTACTCTGTACAAATTTCAGTCTTACAAGGTGGGGCCTGAATGGAGGCTGGTTTCTGCAGATTGGAACTGTGAGGTCAGAAAGACCTTCCAGGATCAGAAATAGAGAGTATCAGAATAGAGATGGCTCAAAATTCTGTCCTTTGAATGGTTATCTGAAGTGGAAACATCAGTGTCAAGGGCTTTTGCCATTCTTATCATTTGTTCTCTGTAAAGATGGAGGTCTTTGCTAGGAGACACTGAAGTCCAGTCACCCACAGTATCGTTGGGTGATAGGTCCGAGGCACTCTTAGAACTTATAACGAGATGCCATGGAGACCTCTTCTCCAGGCTCATGATACAGAGACTGGAATGGAACCAGTGTGGAGTGGGCATCCATGTATCCCCGTGTATTTGGGTCAAGCCCCTCTAAAGTTTGAAGATGATGTCCAGCCCATCTATTTAAGTAGGATGGTGACATGCAGTAAGAATGCTGGGGGGGGGGGGCACTGGTTGCCAAGATAAAGGAGGTCCCAATTCTGAGTGTACCAGTTGTCTGGCAGGGATGCTAGATGTGGTGATGGGGTGTGCAGGGGAACCAAGATGATGTCCTGATCAACCTCTGGACGGCAGGGATGCTAGATGTGGCAATGGGGTGTCTTCAATAACAGACCAAGATGATGTCCTGATCAACCTCTGGACCCTTAGAAGACTTGACACATCCTGATTTGGGCACAGACTTGGTCTTCTCCTTATGCTTAAATTTTTTATGTTTCTTAGCAGGAGGTTCCAAATGCAACCAGACCTTGGTCAACAGTCCTGGAGAAGGCAAACGTGGGTGACTAGATTCTACCTCCGGAGCAACCAAAGTGGCTCTTTTTGGAGGGATCGGAGCCGCCTTGATAGACGAGCCCGTAGGAACCAAACAGACCAATGGGGGCCTGGAACGGGGTTCAGTAGTCGGAGCCAAGGGAAGTGGACCCGAGATAGTGGGCCCCGAGCTCAGAGTCACTTTGGAAGGAACCAAGGAGGACAAAGCCTTCTCCCACAGTGCAGCGTTCAGCCTAGAGGCCCTATCCGACCAAGCCTTAGGGGTAAAGCGCTGGCAAACTGAACAAGCTCCAACATTGTGGGTGTCTCCTAAGCACAGAAGGCAGAGTTTGTTCCACATTTTGCACATTTTTAAAAACAGTACCATAGATGCTGTGACAAGGAACCACAAGCACAACAAACAGGGAGAGCCCGGGTGATGGGGCTTGCCTCCCATGAAATAGCCTCCCAAAGGAGTACAAAACAAGTCCTTGGTGGACAAAAAGAAGTCTTCTTTCATCCACAATGACAATGAAGAAATCGATGGAGCATGCTAGAAAGCTTCTTATCCTTGAGGCGGTGAAAAAGGAACTGAGGAAAGGGGGTGCCTGCCAGTGGAGCATGTGATATTCTAGACAGGGATCCTACACATGCGTTGGCTCTGAAAGGGGCAGGGTGCCTCCTCTTTGGAGTTTTTGAGCTAGAAAGAAAATGTCCTATGGCCGTCCTGCACAAGCGCAGTCCCAATATGGGGCTGCACAAGAAGACCGAAGATGAAACACTGTGAACACATTAACCTGGTCAGGCCCTTTGTCTATCAAGCTCAGTATTGTCTACTCTGACTGGCAGCAGCTCTCCAAGGTCTCAGGCTGGAATCTTTCACGTCAACCACTTCCCAAGTTTCTTTACCTGAAGATTCCAGGGACTGACCCCGGGACCTTCTGCATGCAAAGCAACTTTGCCATTATGTCCCTGCCTCTTCCTAATGGTTACAACACTTGATTACGACTGGTGAGACCTGGGTTCTATACTCACATCCTGTCAGTTCTTATGTGTATATATAGTGAGGTGATGTACATTCTTCCAGTCTCTTTCCTCTAACCAGGTTTTCAATAACAGGTTTCAATCCTGGATGACCTTCTGTTGAAAAGGAATACTGACGGATTTAAACAGGGTATCTCCCGGGCTTAGAGCTCCCATCTTACAGGCCAGGTTTTGTTTCAGAAGGGCAAGTAGACAGTCAGGGGTTAGCAGAAAACATGCTTCAGACTCCGGTTATCTCCAGGAACAGTACATTGTTGAAGGAAGCATTGTTTCTGTCAATGCCTACAATCTGGAGGAGGAGAATCTTCTCCTTTCCAATGTGAATAAATCCTTGTTCTTCAAAAGAAAACAGTTATTGAGTTAACAGAACAGTGGCAGGATTGCTTTTAATGTTCGGAAAGTCAATTTATTGCAGGATGAGGGGGGGAAAAACAAGAGTCCAATCTTCTAGAGTAGGTTGGACTTTCTCAGGCAAAAAATATACCTCCTTCAGTTGAACAATGGGCCTTCTTCTTCCCAGGCTATGAAGTGATAAAAAGTATCTAATGTAACAGATATGGGTACATCATGTAGTATGGTTTCCATCTAACGCAAGCTAACTGACATCAGGGACATGCGCAGTTACAGCTGGCCATAACAAGCAAGGTCACAAGCTTCAGCATTTTACCTTTCCAGCATGCATCCAAACAACAGTCACAAATGAACCAAAGTTAATACCTGAAAACATTCATGATGTTAGAATCATCAATGGCACTTAACATATGCACCATGGAAGGGCTAAGTGCACCTATTAAGTTAAACCTGTTAGTCAGTGGCAGAGTACAAAGTGTTTCATAAACTGTGCGTATAACACTGGTCTAGAGGCAACTTCCTGCCCCAGAACTAGAGCCACATTCAGGATTTTGAGGGGTTCAAGGCAAGA